TACAGTATCATTATATTACAATATTGTAATATAATATTGGTTACAATAATTATATTCATAAATAGGTCTTTGTCCATGGTTAAATTTTATTCTTTTTTTTAAAAATTGTTTTGAGGTGGGGTCTTACTATGCAGTTCAGGCTGGCCTTGAGCTCACTTTGTAGCCCAGGCTGGTCTCGAACTCGCAATGATCCTCCTGCCTCAGCCTCTCGAGTGTTGGGATTACAGGTGTGAGCCACCATGCCCAGCTTAAATTTTATACTTTAGATTTCTATAAAATAAAATTTTAACTATCAATGTTAAAAGTAAGACTTTTTCAAAACTTGTAAAAAAAGAAAAAAAATCACAGTATTACTACTCTTACTATTTAATATTTAATTACCTGGTACATAGTAAACACTTAGGTGTGTCAACTCATTTAGTTATCAATGAACCCTATAAAGCAGGCCTTGCTACTTGTCTACTTTACAGATGAGGGTACTGCTACACTGAAAGGGTAAATAACTTGCTTAAGATTAATACCTAATGCATCACAGCACTTTGCAGAAAAATGTACTTCCAAAGTGTGCACTTTTGAAATTAAAAAAAAAAAGCTCAAAAATTTTTAAGAGTATTTTTATAATCTGAAATACAAATACAATGAAATTTATTATTTTATTTAAAAAGTGACTGCATGTCTGATAAGATTTTCCTGAAAAAAATTATCTCTAAAAATTCACTTTAATTAATCTGTCATATCTACAAAGTCTGAATCTAGCTTTCCAATGAGTTAATTTTAAATGTCTTATCTCATCTGTCTCAGTAGAAATTTTATCCTGATAGAACTTAGAACTTAGTTTTCATAATTATATTATTTCCTTCACATACTGGGATGATCTATATATTTATGGATTATAAGTATATAAATGATCACAAATAGGCACTTCCATAAGCAAAATATTCATATTTCACAAGAGAAACTGGCTACTTCTGGTTATGATGCTATTTAGTCATGAAGCTTTTTTCTTTAATTTTTTTTTTTTTTGTCTTTTTCATTTTTATTGGTACCGGGGATGGAACTCACGACCGCCTGCTTGCAAGGCAGGTGCTTATGCCGTTGAGCTAAATCCCCAGCCAAGAATAATTAAAGAAATTATTCTTTAATTTTTGTTGCCATTTATTTTATGCTGAATTTATTCTGTGTGGTTAGTTTTTGTTTCTTTGGCTTCTGATACTTTCTTTTTCACAATCTATTTTCCTGGTTTAGGAATAACTGGTTCCTTTTCAGCGAAGATCATCTCAGCATGGCAGAAGGAGCTCATATACGGATAAATGTGAGCATGACTTGGTTAAGTACAGGTGCATACTGAGTGCTATGTTTACCTCAACTGTTAAAAGATTCCCGCTGAGATTCTCTATCTAAACCCATAAATTCAGCATTCTTCTCTGCAGTTTAAAGCATGTGCAACACAAATTCACTGTTTTGAACTATCAACCCTGTATTTAGTCCCCAGTGCTTAGTCTGGGCACATCTACCAACTCTACCACTTTAACACCAGAACAGCACACATTACTTCTTTAAAGTAACACCCTTCAGGTACTAGGTGGCTTTTCTGATATGCATATGCATACCTTTGCTGGCCTGGGCTGTTTCACAGTGTTCTTTTAATTTTTATTTCTATTTTCTTCATGAAGCTCCCATTTTCTTTGATTCCTCTAAAACATTCTACTTATTCTAATAATGAAGGATTAAGAGCAAAGACTAATTTAGAGCTGTTTTCCATTTCTTGCAAAATTCTTGCATAATGCTGGATGCATAGCTTACAGGAGTATCTTTCATTGAAAAATTTTTTCTCTACTACTACAACATTAACTTTGGTATTCAATCAAACACATTTATTAAGTACCTATCATATTCTAGGCACTGATCTAGGCATTGAAGACGAAACAACAAAACTAAGCCTCTGTTCTTGTCTAATGGAAGGAGACAGATAATAAATAACTTGAAAATACATTTGTAATTCCAGATATAGCTGTGATAAAATACTATGAAAAAAATAAAGCAAGATGGTATGATGTGAAAAGACTTAACTGTTATCTTAGATAGGGGTTTTAGGACAGTTCCTCTAATGAACATTTGGAGTGAAATAAAAAGTGAAGCCAAAAAGTAAGCCACTCAAGATAATTAGAAGAACATTTCAGGTTGAGAAACTGGCAATCACAACAGCCCTGAGCTTAGAAAATGCGCTTAACATGTCTGAGAATATGCTTGACACATCTGAGGAGACCAATGTGTCTATGCACCATGGAATAGTAAGCTGGTCCAGGATAAATGGCAGCAGGGCTTCCAAGCCATGGGAAAGACTCTGGATTTTTTCTAAGTATGATGAGATGAGGCACGAGGACTTCTATCATGCACAACAATAAAATACAAATAATGACTTACTGCGAATTATCTTCATTGTTTATTCTTTTGAGTTCCCGTATGTGAAGATTTCTGACTCTTTCCAATCGTTCAAGTTCTGCCTGGATTTCTGCCTCTTCCTGAAAATGAAGAGAAGGGACTATAACAAGCTCAATTTATTTGTGATATAAAAAAGATATTTTTACCCATGCATCAGTTTTTTACAGTGATGGGAAGAATAGTGCATTATAAAGTTCCACTGAATTAAAAAAGACCAAAGTGTTCTTTTCAATGCCTGAAAGATAGAGACAAGGCAAAAGCCTATTTCAAGAAACCATTCTCCATATAAAAATCTGTACCTAATGAGATGCTGGGTTTTATTCTGTACTACAAGAAATCTATTTTTATGCCTACACTAAAGTAACTGCAAGGTACTCTGATGCTGACTTATAACACAAAATGAGATGTGATTTTTAAATTCTAGTTCATCTAAATTTTAACTTAAGAGGGAAGAATATATGAGCATAAAACAATAAAATGACGATATTTTCTAATAATTAAAGAGGAAGAAAGAAGACAGAAATGAGTATTCTTAGACCTTACAATATTTGGAATATAAATACAATCACATATAACCTGACCACTCACTATGGATAAAAACTCCTATAATTCTAAACAGACATTAAAATAAAAAAGTTATTAATTGCTGTGGTGAATCTTCAGTTATCAGAGCAGAGGTATGCAAGACCTAAAGGAATGTACTGAAATATTATTTAATTTCTTTTTTTTTTTTTGGTATCAGGGATTCAACTCACAACCTCACACTTGTCAGGTAGACGCTTATATTTTTTTAATAAACATATTTTTTCATTCTCGAAATAGGCAATTTTTGGAAAAAATTTAAACTAATCACCAAAACAAGTATCACTCACGTCTCACTCTCTTAACACACACCTTTGTTAATAAAAATTTGAGTATTACTAAAAGATGAACATAAATATGCCAGACGTTGGAGGAAATTTCTAAAAATACTCAATTAAAAATACTTTTTAGTAACAATTTGTGGAATAAATAATACAGATTACCTTGACCTAATATGTATCTATTACAATTATAAATCTAGACCACATGGGATACAGGTTAATAAAAAAAAAAATTTTTTTTTTTTTTTGGTACCAGGGATCAAACTCATGAACTTGCGTTTGCCAGGCAAGCACTTACAGCACTGAGCTAAATCCCTGGGCACCAGGTTAATAAACATTTTATCTAAATATTTCTCTATTTTAGTAGCTTCTTTGCTTTCTTTTATTGACTTATCTTTTGAGAATAAAAAAATCTCATCTAAAAGTATAATTCTGAAATATATTGAAAGTATAATCATTTCATTCAAATACAAAGAGAGGTATAAAATCTATTAGACCAATACATAAGACTTGAGTTGAGAAGAGTATTTTAAGTATTTCTAAAACTGATCTTTGCAGATTATTTATGTTCCACTTAACTTTTAAAATTATTTTAGAATGAAATTCAACACTTTTTTGCAAAGATACTTAATGAAGATTAGGCATTAGATGACAAAGAGATAATTTCAAGATAAATTTAAATAATGAGAATTTTTTCTAGAATTTGAGAAAAATTTCTAAAACAGATATACTACACAGATTTAAATAAAATACCCTCATTTAATATGCTTCAGTCACAAGTATTTGTCTAGAATGAACAAAATGCTAAGGTGACATTCCAGGAGACTCAATACGCATTATGAATTATGAAGTTTTTGAACAATAAATCAACACACTTAGCTGTTTTAATTTAGTGACATAAGACAGTATAAGAAATTGCCCATATAGGTATATCCAGGTGTATAGAAAAATTTTAATTCATTTATACCACAGAATTTAGAAAGCAGAATCTTGTTCTCTTCACAAACAAATATTTGGTAGGCTGGTGAAATTTCAAGTATTCAAATGAAATTATGTTAAGGCTATTAGAATACCAGATGAGATGTTGGTTGTAGCTTTCACTTGAAGTTGTATCATAGGGATTCTATTTCAATTTTGACTTTATATAAGTTAAATTTTACTGACTCATAAATATGTAGGATTCAACTAGATTATTAATGCAGACAATAACATTTGTTGTATAATCTTCATGATGTTTAGTAAATGATGGACCCAATATCACAAAATAAAGCATGACACGTATGTCCCATAAAATAAAGCATGTCGCATTTACTTATGTCCCATAAGATCTTAAAAATAAAAACACAGATAAGCATCATTCATTTTAAATTGTTAAGATTACTGAGGGAAGGGGCTGGGGATTTAGCTCAGTGGCATAAGTACCTGCTTTGCAAGCAGGCAGTCGTGAGTTCAATCCCTGGTACCGATAAAGACAAAAAAAAAAAAAAAAAAAAAAAAGATTACTGGGGAAAAATGTCAGAAGAACTAGAGGGAAATACTAGATTCTAGGTATTGAGGAAAAATTTGTCAAAGGAAGCAACTATAACTGATTCTTATATGCAGATAGAAACAAATCCACCACAGTGAGATATGTTTACATGTTCTTATCTTGTTACTTAGTTTTGTGTGATGTCTTAGACCTTAAAACAAAGTGGTGTGCTTGCTTTGGCAGCACATATACTAAAATTGGAACGATACGGAGAACGATACATCCTTGCCCCTGCGCAAGGATGACATGGAAATTCGTGATCGTTCCATATTTTTGTATAATGTTCAGTATGTATTCAATGCGTGTGAAGATGGGGACAACTATTTGGAAGAAAAGTAGAGACAATAAACAGACAGTGAAGATCTCCAGTGGACTTGCTTTGAAATCCATGCTTCTTAAAATTGTTTCCTTAAGATTTGTTTTGTTCTGTTTTGTTATGTTTAATCTTACCCTCTTTAAGATATGGGCAATTCTTTTGAAGACAGTAAGAGGCATTATAGTAGCCATTGTTGATCACCTTGTATTTTATATCATATACTATGTCTATTCTTGTTTTAACTGACTCCATTTTGTTTTGTCACATTTGGTTTTATTCTATTCAAACAAAGTAATAAGAATTGTAGGAATAATAAAACCTAAAATGTGTAATTGTTATTATAAAAAAAGAGAGGAAAAGAAAGTGCTCTAAAGGATGTAATTGCATGTATGTTTAAGTGTGTAAGACAGATAACCATACTAAGTTTTTGTTGGATCACTGAACAGAAGTGTTTGCAGTCTCACTGTTAAAATGTCTACTTAGTATGCTTTAATTTTGTAACTTGAACAGCGACTTCTAAGATGACAATATGTAATCTATCAACTAGTGATTTGGTTTTTTTTGAAATTCTGTATTACTTCTACCCTTTTTTGTTTTGTTTTTTTCTCTTTAAATAAAATTCTTTAAAAAAACAAACAAAGTGACATGCTTTTGTGGGAAAAATAATTCTGCAACTCTAAGAAATTTCTCTCAAATTCCACTGGAAGGAAGGAAGGAAGGAAGAAAGAAGGAAAGAACGAAAGAACGAAAGAACGAAGGAAGTACAGACTGTTATGGATTAAATACTTGTGTTCCTCCTGAATTTCATACAGAAGCTGTATTCTCCTAGTATGATAGTATCTGGAGATGCACTGGGAGAAGTAGCTAGCATTAGATTAGACCACTATGAGTAGAAGATAATGCTCAATGAAGGAGGCAGTACCACCACCATCACAATTTCCCTGGGAACAAGGTCATATGTAATCCAGGAAGAGAACCCTCAGCAAAAACTAAACCATTCCAGCCCTTAAACTGAGACTTTTAAGACTCCAAAACTACGGTATGAGAAAATAAATTTCTATTTAGTCACTCAGCGTGGTACTTTGTTATGGTTTGCTGAGAAGCCTAACAGACCCACATCTCTTTAAGCAAATGCTCTGGGCAATACTATTTAGTACCTCTTCTCAGAGGCAGGGGAATGGCCCAGTTTTGGTCTGGCTCTGTTATGAGGACATAACAGGCTCAAAAGGAGTAGCCTCAATTTCTCTTTGGTACAGATCATTTCCTAAGGTCCATCCTTAGGTTACACTCTTTTTCACTGACTGACATTAGCCTGTAGGGGATACTCAGAGTTCATCTTTTTCAGAAGCTTCAAGAGAAGTGAGGAAAACCTGTGATCACAATTACTACAGAATAAATCTTCAAATTCATGGCAAAACTACATCACATTAGCAGAATAAAACAGATAACCCGTCAGCTAAACTGCATGTAGTAAATATATTAAATATCAATCCTGCATTCATTCACTAGCTAAGCAGTTAAAGCAGAGAAAACCTAGAAGAAACAAAGATACAAATAACATCTGGAAATAAATTTGCTTCTGCAGGCAATTATAATATAGAAGGGATATGAGTTAAAAATGATTGAATTAAAAAGAGGTAGGTCTAGTAATCAAATACCAAATAAATGTCTCTTTTCTGCTTAAAAGGATACAACAGACAACTTAATAGTATACAATATAGCAGTTTTAAAAGTATTTTAAAATAAGCTCTGGGGGCTGGGGATTTAACGGGGCTGGGGATTTAGCTCAGCGGCATAAGCGCCTGCCTTGCAAGCAGGCAGTCGTGAGTTCAATCCCTGGTACCAATAAAAACGAAAAAGACCAAAAAAAAAAAAAAAAAAAGCTCTGATGTTCTGAATTAAGTTATATAAAAAACTAAGTCATATACATACAAAACAGGTCTAGTATTAAAACTCCTGGGTCAATTTGGAGTGGGCACTACCCATGGTTGCAGTTTTTCTTAAAGAGTGAAGTGTATAGGGACTGAAGCTATAAAGCTTAGTTATAAAATGGATTTCACATGTAAATCAATATACATTCCAAATTTAAAACACAGCTGTCTGAAGTTATTCCGCAAATCTAAATGTATATCACATGCCACTTCCCATACAAAAAAACTCAATTTGTAAAAACTGATTTTTTATATTTGTTTTTTTGAGACAGGGTCTCACTATGTTGTCCAGGCTGGTCTCCAAATCTGAGTGATCCTCCTGCCTCAGCCTGCCAAGTGCTTGGATTATAGGCATGTGCCACCACACCCAGCTAAAAATAACTTTTTATAAAGCTAAAATAGTAAGGTTTGTTTGTCTGTTTTTTGTTTGTGGGGCTGGAGTGGGGACCTGCATGCTAAGCAAGTTCTGTCACTGAGCTAGACTCCCAGCCCAGGATGTACTCTGATACAACATTCTTGGCTTAACTATAATCTAGAAGAATTCATGAACAAAAAAATTTCTGTAGGTGGAAGCTATGTATAGTACACAGATTAGCACAGTCTGTTCAACAGCACCAAAACATTACATGGTGCTCAGAAAACCCAGAAAGAGATTTCTGAAAGTTTAATGCTAAATTCATTTAAGTAATAGAAAAAATGAGTCCCTTAGAAGTTAACAAGTCTACATTCTCAAAGAACAAACAAACCAACCAAAAAACCACCAAAACCTTTCATAAACTGTACTATTTATAATGTCATTTAAAAAGTTTATCACCAAGAAAAGTAAAAGGTAAAATTTAGAAAAGGCACTATTAAAAACTAAAAGAAGTGTATAAAGGAGGAAACAATTTACTTCATATTAATCCCTACATGTTACTAGATTGTAATCTTTTCCTAACCTGAAATATGGACATAGAAAATATGAACCAATGGAAAAATGAATCAACCAACAATCACCACCAAAAGATACCTACACAAAGCAGTCCTGAATTTACCTCCATTGTTAAGACTGTTCTATAATCATATTTTTGCTTTGGTATGATTGTGTAAATTGAAGACAGGGATAGTAGTAGAAGACACAAAACTTACAAAAGTATTCAGTGTTTTCTTTCCAAACTATGTAAGTGTTCTGACACTCCCCAACCTAAATACCAAACTGTCATTATTGATGGGAACTGTGGACTCTTCCTCAGATATACTTCAGTAGCTAAGAAAACTATCCTAAAACCTTTACTGTTAATGCACACTTCACTTCTTTTTAAGAGAAGGGAGTAATGGTTTATTCTCTTTTCAAGAGCATTAATATATACACTGAAACTCTTTAGAGTTCTAGGGAACCCAGGCGTCATGCAGGCTAGAATGCTCCACCACTAAGCCATAGTGCTAGACATTTTTATTTTTGAGGCAGGGACCTGCCAAGTTGTCCATGCTTGCTTTAAGCTTTAGGTCTTTTTGCCTCAGCCTCCTGAGTAGGTAAGATTACATTTTGTTTTTGGCTTTTCTTTTGGTACTAGGGATTAACCTATAATCTTCTCACTGAATTACATCCCTGGCCCTTTTTCCAGTTTTGTTTTGAGACAGATCTCACTAAGACACTAAAATGCACAGATTGGACTTGAAGTTGTGATCCTCCTGCCTCAGTCTACCAGAGTGCTGGGACTGCATGTGTGCATCATCATGCCCACCTACACCGAAGTAATTTAAACTGAGAATGACTGTTAAAATATGTAGGCTTTCAGTCCATTTTATTTAAACAAAGAAAAATCTAACTTCCTCAGCAGACAATAAATCTAAGAGTTGTAATGAATGGCAAATTTTAAACATTCAATGTACTTCCTTATTTTCTGAAAGAGAGTCTTGCTATCATAGTCCAGGCTGGCTCTGAATTTACCACATAGCTCATTGCTAGCTTAGAAGTTGGCAATCCATCTGCCTTAGCCTCCCAAGTGCTGGGTTAATTGTCATGTGCCACCACACCTGATTTTTAGTATACTTCTTGTATACTGCTGTGTAATTGGAACAGGAGTCCTTAATGTTAAATACTAAACAAAGTGTTTGCACCAGCCTTAGCATGCACAAATATAATGTTTCTTCAGTAAGGTACACGTAGTTCTTGCTCTTAGCTTCCTGCTTTTTCAGGATGTTAGTAGGTAATATACATTTTTATAGTTTGAAAACATTTAATTTCTACCCCTAAATGGGACAAGCCTAGTTGTCTATATTCTGACTACGAATGTACAAACAAATGGTATGGACTTTAGTTTTGATTCAGGAAAGTTGGTAGCCAAGAAACTGTTTTCTATTTTTTGTGAAACAGTGATCTTTTAAACTAAACTTAGAAACCTAAATCAAACAAACTCTGCACTAAGTGATGGGAAACATGCCTTCTGAAGATCAGAACTAGAAATATTTATAAGTCCTTACGAGTGAAAGAGGTGGAATATAAACTGAACATTTTCTATCTACAGCTAGTTCCATCTTCTCTCATCAGAGTCATCTTTTATATACCACACCTTTTTTGGGGTGGTATGAGAGACTGAATTCAGAACCTTCTCACCGAGCTACAGTCCTAACCCTTGTCTGTTTTTGAGACAAAGTCTGGCTAAATGGCTGAATGACCCAGGCTAGGCTTGAATTTGTGATCAGAAATTCTGCCTTAGCTTCCCAGAGTGCTGAAATCACAGGCATGCAGCAGTACCCTCAGCTCTAGTCTACTAATTTTTAAATGCAAAGCAGTAAGAACACAATTTCAAGTGCAGAATTCCAGCACTCTTCTCAGCATCTTTTTCATCCATATACCAAGAAGTCAGGAATCTCATAACATTCTTTACAGGCTTAACTGTGACTTCCGAGTACAGAGGATTCTCATCAGAATCCCACTGAAATCTATGGCCTATACAAGTAGTATCTTGTTTCATGTTTTACAGAAACAATGTATCATGCGCTCAGCTTTAATTTAGAGAAAAATTCTAAAAAGATTTCTGCTAGT